GTTCTGGTCTGTTCCCCTCCCCACCGGCCCGCTTTTGTACTATTGATAGATTGTCTTCGCCAGAGCCGAACAAGTGGCCTCCGGCACCGCCTTTCAAAACCTGGGTATAATTCTTGAATCCGTCTTTACAGTTACTGCATCCAGCTAGGGACGAGTAATACTTCCGATGCAAGACCGTGATAGGTGTACCTGTTTAGCGCGTTAGGAGCTAGGTGGGTGCGGTTACTGGGTGGGGAGGGCAAGGCCGCGGGAAGGGGTGGAGAGGCTGGAGTTGTATATGGATTGGTATCGGACTGTGGAGAGGTACACGCTGAGGGGTATCACCAAACAGTTTGATATCCTGCCGGCTATTGGGGGTTTGGCTAGTCGGTTTCAGGGGCTGGTGGGCGATCGGTATGTAGCGGGGCTGTGGGAAAAGGACCTCCATAACGGGTTGCTGTGGACTGTTGAAGGGCTGATCCGGCCGGGCGAACAGCCGTTCAGGGCGCCTAGTTGGTCATGGGCGTCGGTCAACTTAACGAGCATCAAATTCGACCCAGATACCTCAACCAAAGTACGAGACGTGGAGCAAGAATTGGTTTGAGGTCGAGAATGTCACAACACCACTAGCGACAGTGAACGAGTATGGGGAGGTGGACGGCGGGGTGCTGAGAGCCACCGGGTATCTGCGAGAGGTTCGGCTGGCTGGGGCTTCGGTCGCCGATAAAGTGTACGAGATCCGAAAGAGTCTACTATTGGATCCCGTAACGGGAGAGTCGCTCGGAAACATCTTCCTTGATCACCCTCGGATGAGCACGGATCCCTCGCTCAGTGTCTGGTGCCTGCCGGTGCTCCATACAGGCTCGCCGGGCGGCAACCTGACGTCTCTGTGTTTGGCGCTGGTGCCGGTCGACGGTGGCAATGGCGACCAGAAACACAAACGCGTCGGCCTGGCAAAGGTCACAAACAAGAAGTGGGATCAGGGCTTTTTCCCTGACAGCGGAAAGAGACGGCTATGCTTAGTGTAATGGGAGACATTTGAATATACAGAACACCCCCCCCGCCTTCTACGGTGAGTGGTCAACGTGAGCAGAACCATCCATACCCCTAATCAACCCCTGCCCTTGAACATATCAGACTCTCAATGCCGCCGCTTGCCTAAGATTCCTCCCGGTGCAGGAGGTCTGCCGGGGAGGCGAACGGCGGCGACCCCATCTCGGCACTCGTTTCGCTGATGATGCCGGTGAGCTCAACCTTCTCAGCCCAGTCGCTCTCCGGAGGGCCGAGCTTTCCAATCCTGGCACATTTGGAACAGCAGGCAAGTAGCTTTAGAATATCGGGCGTGAGGTGTGTGAAGTGGTTCTTTTCGCCATACTGGGACTTGCCGGCCTTTGCCTTGCAGTACGTGCACCTCTTAGGTGCCCAGGCCAAGAAGTCGCAGCTCTGGCGCATGGCGCGAAAGAGGTCGAGCGCGAAGGCGGGTGCCTCCTCGTCGAGAAACCGGTTGAACAGCGGGAGTGCGAGGAGCGAAAAGCGCGCCATGTAGGCGAAATGGACGAAGGCGGTGCGGATGGGGGACATGTCGTCCGATCTGTCAACCGCCGTGGGGTCATGGGTGTACAGGCGGCGTAGGGCATCCAGAAGCTCCGGGAGGTATTCATTGGCCGCGGTTTGGTCAAGCTGAAGAGGCTCGAGCTTTGTGTCAAGCCCCTCCACGAGGGTGTTGAGGGCCATGGCAGCGAGCGAGGTAGCGGCGAAGAAGTCAGCCACCGTATAGATTTCGTAGCAAACCACGAAGGGAGTCTTGTGCCCGCGAGTATGCGTGATCTTTTCCTGCCAGGAGGGGATATCATAAACTAAAGGCCAAGTGTCAGTCCGGTCTGTTTCTGTGTGACAAGCTGAATGTCTAAGACCAGACGAGATCCACCCGTCATAGTGCGTCGTGAATAGGGAAGAGAGCGACAAATGCGCGTTACTGATCACGTACCTCCGGTATAAATGTAGGTTATCAGACAATCAACGACCTCCGGGTTGAAATCCTGTATCTCGACCACGTCCGTCCTCGCCTCTTTAAAATTCCCAGTTAGCGCCCTGTTAAACCACTCGCTGCGCGAGCAAAGAATATTCTTATGGAGCTTCCAGATCCGGCCAGCACACTGGATTATGACATCGGAAAAGAGTCCCGTGGAGAGCAGGCTTTGGGGGTTCAGTCAGCGCGTGTTTGTATAGTAGTAGGGAACCATATGTAGGTGTCCTCAACACTTACTCGGCGTCGAAGCTGTCGTATTCCTGCTGCATTTTTACGATACCAAGTGGCCGTCGATATAGGGTCGGACAACCGTGCTTGTCTTTGTAAGGGTAGTCGTGGACAAGCTATTTGTTCAGGTGTTGCCGGGAGGTGCTGATTGACTGATCTTTCGGTGGGCCAGGTCAGTGTTGATACTTGAACAAGGATCAAGTTGCTGTCTTCGTTCTCAGTCTGTCTCATGTTACAGTCCACTTCTTGTCGCTTTGCTAGGTGTCACTTTGATGACCGGGGTCGATGTTTCCGCCCTGGTAGTTGTTTGTTTATCGCTTGTGTGGTCCTTTTTCTTGAGCATTAGGTTTTGTGCGCTGGAACAAAACCTAACCGCTCCGTTGATATTGGCACGGTGTTGTCGGTGACAACACCGGACTAACCCATTTCTCCTATCGCCATCTACTGAAATATGACCTGGGTGAGCCTACATACATCTCAGCTGGCGCATTTTCACCGCCTGCATGGAGCTCTGGGCTGTGTTGAGTCTTCCACATGTCCCCAACAGCGTACAACTCAGAAGGTCGATTCTCCGCCGTATGCAGCTCGAACCCTCCATGATCACCACTTAGTTCATTTGGGGATGCCTTCATTAGCATGACTCCCTCTGGCAGTTCGGATCTACCACCTCCCGAATAAAGTTCGTGGTGCCGCGGACCTGCTGCCGGTATCGCCTTCGGTCCTCGATTCCGCATCCAGTACCATACCAAGATGGCCGCCGAAATCAGGCCTGCTACACCAATACCAATGCCAATGCCGAGGCCCATTTTGGCCCCTTCGCTCAAGCCAACCGAACCCGAGCTTGCCTCTGCCGATGATGTTGACGACGAGCTAGCCGTGGTGTGCCCTGTTCCATTCGAGACGTCAGCCCTCACATATTCCCCAACAAAAGCAATCTCACCCACCTGTTTCTGACACTGACGTTGCCGAAGTTGCTGTTGGGCCCGTCGTCTGCCCTGAAGAGGTACTCGAGGCCGTGGTACTCGTTTCGGAATCCGGCAGCGGAAAGGTCTGCACAGCCAGGGCGTTCCCGATGCTCGCCCCTGGGAGCGAAAACACGGCGGCCTGCGTCTGACAGCACGCTGTCTTCTCCCGCGCCGACTCGCAGCAATACGCCGCAGGCTCAGCATATCCATCGTGCGAGCACCCCCACACTTGCACACCACCCGCCCCAAAATCGTACGCCGATGAGTTCGTCGCCGCGTCCGGATCTAGCGTCACACCATTGAAGTTAGCACCCCCAGTCCCCAACACCGCGACCAGACCACAAGACACTTTAGAAAGTCATGCATACTAATCCGACACCTCTGCGGACACACGTCGCTCGCCCACTCCCTGTCAGTACACGTGCCGCGCGCGTAGCTATTGCCGTCGTCCGGCCCCGTGCCCGGGTTGCGGCAGAGCCCTGACGAGAGGCACAGGTCGGCGCTGCCACAGCACATGCTGACTTCTGCGTCGGGGTCGCAGGGTACGTCCTCGCTGCTGGCGCCGTTGGGGAGGAAGCATTGTCTTTGGGCTTGGGCGGTGGCGGGGAGGGTGGTGAGGAGGAGGAGGGGGAGGGCGAGGTGGAAAAGGGGGGTTGACGTTGTTGGTGGGGGTTTCATGGTGTTGATGAGTGTGTTGCCGCGTCGGCGTCTGGTCGTTTTGATGGGGCGAGGGTCGGCTGTTGTTCGTGAGCGGTTACGGGGAGGTTGGAGCAAACTCGCGGTCAGCCCTACGCCGGAAGTGCTGACGGATATGACTTTTTTCGAGCCTGCCATGCGGATCCAAGAAGAACCATGCGCTGTAAGCGGCTCTAACTTAAAAGAACGGTTGCTTGCGGCGCCCCCCCGCGCCCAATGTAACCAAGGGTGTGCTGGGCCCCTAGCCGTCCTCAAATGGGATTGCGAGAACTCCTGCCTAGGCCTTGATTAACCCTCCCGTGCCGCTGCCGGGGTCCTAGAATGGCCACCAGACAACTCAGCCCTGTGGGCGAGGAGAAATGACACGCGCGACGCGTTTAAAGCCACGAGGTTTCAAGGGGCGTGGTGATGCTACGCTACCACACCGGTAGAGATGATCGCTGTTTTTTTTGCCCGCAGGCCAGGCTCGCTCACTGGCAGCCTTTCAGGCGAAATCAAAGTAGGAGCCGAATGCGAGCCTCGGACTTTTTTGAGTTGTGGCTGAAGCTCTTCGTGTCCCTCGCCTCTTTCTCACGTCGGTATAAGCACTTTTAACGATTGGCCGTTATAAGATCTACTTAGCAGATTGCTGATCAGGCCTTAACGTGGAAGTTCTTTTTTATCACTTCAACATCAGCAATCTACGTTTGCGACCGTGTACAACTTATGTATATCCGTTACCCAAACCCCCTCTCGACCGGGAAAATGCAATATGATAGGGCAACCCCAGCAAATCTGTTTTGCTTACTTTTTGTCTCTTCACCGATTTCCGTTGCGCCCTGTACTTTCGGGACTTCGCGGTTATTAATCTTTGGGACCAGAACCCTTTCTTCCCAGAGGATGTCTGCGAATTTGGGTACCTAGATAGAAGTTGGTTCGGGTGCATGGAGAATGTGAGGAACGGGGATCAGAGCTCTCGGGGATCCCATCCTCCGTCTTGAGGGCGTTGACGAACCATTTCGTGCCTCGGACATCTCGTTTTTGGTTCTCATTTCCCCCGTTGGGTAAGGACCCCTTATCACCTCGTAAACATTGAACGAATCCTTGGCCCACAGCGCCCTCGGCGCGCCACGTGGGAACAAGACCCGGCAGGTTGGGTAACGGCTACCGCATGCAGGGAACTCCGATTCCCGAACGCTCGGGAATAACCTCTGTCTCGACGAGTCAACTTCTTCCCCGGACACTTCTCCGCACGCTAGCTCGCCTTGGCCCGGGCCTAGCCCACACTGTCCCCTCGGCAGTTTGCCCCGAGGAGCGGAGGGTTGCAACTGGCACGCGGGGCGCGTGGAGAAGATAAAGCTCTGTCGATCCCAAGAGCTGGACCCTTCTTCATCGTCAACTGAGGATCTCAGGCGGTGTTTATCGTTGGTGTTGTATTCTTAAAATCGCCATTCACCTGTACCCACCTCCGCACCGTCGCCATGTCGCCAAAAGAGCCGTGGCTGACTAAAACCTTCCTTGCCTCGTTATTCCTGGGCATCGGCGGGTTTCTCTACGGCTTGTGAGTTGAACCCATCCTCGCCCCTGACCCATTGGAATGCTGACAGGATCTCCTCACCAGTGACTCTGGAATCATCACACCTAGCCTCGCCCTAGGATCATTCAACACGTATTTTGACAAGCCTAACGCGCCTCTTCGCGGTGCCATCGTATCAGTTTACCAGGCTGGAGGTACGCATAACCCGACGCATCATCCCGTCACCGGCAAGTGTTGACAGCCCAAAGCATGGCTTGGCAGCGCCTCGGTGGGCGTAACCAGCGATAGGTTTGGTAGGCGGAAGGCCATCGCCTTCGGGTGCGCCTGGGGAGTGCTTGGAGGCGCACTCATGGCTGGTGCCGCGCACGTTGCGATGCGTAAGGTTTGCCCTGGTTCCAGTGGGGCGATAACAACAAATTGACGGAATACTGCCGCAGTCATCATCGGCCGTCTCTTGATCGGTTACGCCGTCGGTACCATTACTGGAGTGGCTCCGGTATTTGGAGCTGAAATTGCTAAGGTATGTAAAGTTGCCTTCGCCGCTGGTTTGATATCACCATGTTAACGGTTCGTAGACAAGCGAGCGTGCCAGGATCACGGCTGTCAACCAGATGAGTGAGTTTGGGATCGTATTCACCTTGCCGCCAATTTCCAAAGCTAACTAGATTCGTTTAAAGTGGTTGCCTGGGGGTTCTTCGTCGCCTTGTGGACCGGTGTAGGGGAAGGCAAATGGGCCAACGCAAACCAGTGGCGGCTTGGCTTCGCCATTCAGGCCATCCCCGCCCTCATTCTCGGCATCGGTGTCCTCTTCATCGCGGAGTCGCCCAGATGGCTTTGCCTGAAGGGCCGTTATGAAGAAGCCGAGGTCTCCTTCCGGAAGTGGCACGACAACGGCTCGAACGACGACTGGTGCCGGACCGAGTTCGCCGTCATCCAGACCAGCATCGCCGAAGAAGTCCAAGCACAACACCGCCTCGGTTGGGCCGACCTCGTCCGCACACCCCCATTCAGGAGGCGCCTGTTCGTTGGGTCCTTTGTCTGGGCCGCCGCAATGCTTTCCGGTATTAGCTTCGTTCAGTACTTCCAGACCGCCATCTACGCCACATTGCAGTTTGACCAGGATCAACAGCTGCTTGTCAGCGGATTGTACGGCTGCGTGGCACCCGTTGCTTGTATTCTTTCCCTCTTCTTTGTCGATAAAATCGGCCGCAAGAAGATCCTGGTCACCAGCTCGGCCCTGCTCTCGGTGTCGTATCTCATCATCACGATTCTCGCCGCCTTGTACCCCGCGGTGCCGGGCATGCCCACAAACCAAGCTGCTCAGAAGGCCTTGATTGCTTGCATATTTTTGGTGTCAGCCAATTATTCAGCGTTGTTAGGCCCCATGACCTGGATTATCCCGTACGTTGCTCCCCCTTGGCTTCAATGAGATAGAACAGAGCCGAGACTGACAAAGCCCACAGGCCCGAGGTCTTCACAACCGAACTGCGCGCCAAAGCCAACGCTGTCGTTCAGGTCATTCATTACTCCATCAGCTTGATCATTACGCAATGTTCCCCCATTGCCCTCGAAAGGGTCGGGTGGAAGTATTACGTAGGTCTCCAGGCTCGCCGAACTGAGAGGTTCAGATAACTGACAAGCAACAGATTCTCTTCATTCTCACCAACGCTCTATGCGTGGTTGTTTTTGCGTTTGCCTACCCTGAGACAAGAGGTGCGTGGAATCCCAGAACAGTGACAAGCATGAACTAACGATCGTTGTAGGCAAATCACTGGAGCAAATCGACGAGATCTTCGGCGACATCCCAAAGAAGCACGACGTTGAGTTCAACTCCCGAAAAGGAAGTGATTGAGAAGGACGGCGTGTCAATAACCGAGGACCCGAGATAATATTCGCGTTCGTGGGGTTCGTTTACCTGCGGAAAGGAGCATGAAGGGACATGAGTTGCAGGACCTGGAAAAGCACTAATATGGGACATTCATATTTGCTGGCTATGTGTTTTAGTCAGGGGGGCTGTAGTTACGTAGACTACCTGAGCTAACATTCCATCGCTTTAATTCAACGTATTTAAATCATCATCCCAACTCACTGGATGGTTTTGCTAGGCTTTTGTATTCCAAGAGACCTTCACTTCTGAGATTTATTTCTATATATGCAGTGGTGAATGGCGTCTTCTTTTTAGCATCAAAAGTCTTCTTCGACTCCGTGTCCGAGAATATCACTATCAGCGGGTTTCAGTCCAAGGGAGGTCTCTTAGAATCCGAGACTGTTCCAAAAACACTGCATGCCCTCGAGTGGCTGTAAAGAGCCATAGGTTTTGATTGGTGGTGAACGCCACGCAGGAATCGGAGGGTGAACCTTGTGAGGAATGCTCGGAGGCGAGCAATCCCCTTTTCTCCAGTGTCGCATGACTGTGGTTCCTCGGTCCTCACGTCTACGCCCTTCTTGGGCTCCACAACCTCCCATATCACGTACGTCGAGCCGCTCGGGTTCTCAGCATTCGGAATGCCTGCCCCTCGTGAAACTGTCCACGGCACAGTTGTCCTTCGAACGTCCTCCACGCGCCTACCCCCTTTGCAACATTGTCGGGCCTTGACCTACCTCGGCAGTGCCGATTTTCCTTCAATATTGGCTCGCAAGGATGCGGCAATACGGCGCAGGGTCAGAGACTCTGTCAGCCGTTGCCTCGGTGTTCTTTTAAGCGCAGCGGGTTTCACATCGGCCTGTTGTTGGCCCGTCCCCTCATGAGGCGCTCCATCCAAGGGTATCCAAGTACAGATGGTGTGCGTCCCCACGCGACCCTTGGCTTGGCTTGACCTCCAACGTTGCCTCCGTCTCCTTGGCGCTGCAGAATGATATCACTCGGGTTACAAAAGGGAAGATCTCTTGCTATGTTTGGCGATCTTGTGCCGCGTAGCCGAAGGACCCTTTTCCAACTTCTTGGACCTCCACAGTCAGCTGCCTCTGAGGGACGCACGACTGGATCCCACAAAGTAACGCCTGGTATTTGTGGCATGCCAAGAAACGTGTTGATCCGAAGTCTGGGGACACGGCTTCTTGCGGAGTTTTCGAAGGAATTTTCTCCCCATTCCCCCCAGGATAAATGGTGATCCCCGCCGGCCCTTTTTCCCTTCCCACGAGGTCAACTTCCTGGTCTATCTTCGCCATAGTTACCGCCATCTCTGAGTGCCTGCTATCGTACTGTGGCGCGGTGTAAAGATTCCTCCATCCCCGCCCGGCCATAACGCAGCCAGCTTTCGACCCTCATGTCACAACCCGTTGTCGTCGATTCATCGTGCTCTGGCAGTCTGCTCGCGTGTCCGCAGTGATTGATTACCGTTACTATCACCGACATACCCCACGATATACGTTCCCCACGATATACGTTCCCCACGATATACTTTCCCCACGATACAGGCACATACCCTACGACCGACACCCCGAAGACGCCCAACATGCTGTCCATCGGTAAGGATAAAGACTCGGAAAAGGCAGCTGGTGCGCCCAACTACGACTCGGACGTCCAGGAGGGGCTCATAACCGGTAACACCGACAACCTCCAGCGGCACTTGAACAACCGGCAGATCCAGCTCATCGCCATCGGAGGGTCCATCGGGACAGGCCTCTTTGTGAGCATCGGCACCGGTCTGTACCATGGTGGTCCCGGCAGCTTGCTTCTCGCCTACGCGGCCCAGTCCATGTTCCTAGCCATGGTCAACAACTGCATCGCTGAGATGAGCACCGCATACCCCGTCAGTGGCGGCTTCATACGATTGGCTGGTAAATGGGTAGACGACGCGCTCGGCTTCATGGTCGGCTGGAACTTCTTGTGCACCTCCCTCCAACGCCCAACTCGCCCGCATCGTCGATCGGGAATTTGTATTTGTAATTGAGCTAACACTGGCACCCCATGTAGTTTCTATGAAGCCCTGCTGATTCCCTTTGAGATCTCGGCCTTTACCTTGGTGTTGTCCTTTTGGAGCCCTGTGGTGACTGAGCCCGGTCCGGTTGCTGGTATCTGTGCTGCCATCATTCTCTGCTATGCGTAAGAACCTCGGAATGCAGGCCGCGTGGGATTCGCCCCGGGCCGTTCCCCCATGCAATTCATGACCCCCTCTCTCTCCCTGCCGGTGAGGTGTGCATGCTAAAACTTGTCGTCTGAATAGCGCCGTCAACATTCTGGCTGTAAGAGCATATGGTGAATCCGAATTCTGGCTCTCGGGCGGAAAGGTCGTTCTGATCTTTGCCTTGTTCTTGTTCACCTTCATCACTATGGTGGGCGGGAACCCTCAGCATGATGTCTACGGTTTTGTCAACTGGCAGAGACCGGGGGCGTTCTTGGAGTATCTGAGCGAGGGCAGCCTGGGCCGCTTCGAAGGCTTCTTGGGGGCCCTGTGGTCGGCATGCTTCACAGTCGTGGGACCCGAGTATATCTCCATGGTATCAGCGGAAGCCATGCGGCCCCGAGTCTATATTAAGAGCGCCTTCAAGACAGTTTATTTCCGATTTTGTCTGTTCTTCGTCGGCGGCGCGCTAGCTGTGGGAATCGCGTGCTCTCCAAGGGATCCCGCGCTGGAGAACGTCGTCCTCGGCAAGGTCTCTGGCGCCACTGCATCGGCTTCGCCGTATGTGATCGCCATGGGGAACCTCGGCGTTTCGGTTTTCCCTCATATTGTCAACGCGTCAGTAACACCGCACGAAACGAGGCCACATCGGACAGGTAGACCAAGTTCAATGCTGACGGTGCTTCTAGTCTCCTGTTGACCTCAATCTTTTCGGCCGGCAATACTTACACCTATTGCGCCATTCGTACCCTCTATTCGCTCGCGCTTGAAGGGAGAGCACCGAGAATCCTCACCTACACCACCAAAAAGGGTGTGCCGATCTACTGTTTCTTCGTTGTGATGATTTTCCCGTTGCTTTCGTTTCTGCAGGTTTCGAGCAACTCATCCGTCGTGATCACTTGGTTTGCTAGTCTTGTCACTGGTGGAGGTATATTTCCCCCGTCCCTTGCTCTCGCCCCCCCCCCTTTTTAGCGTTAATCCATTGGAAGAATGTTGCTAACACAGAATGACAAACATCCAGGACTAATCAATTACATTGTCATGACCACGACCTTCATCTTCTACTACCGCGCCTGCAAAGCACAGGGTGTCGATCGCAAACAGTTCTCATACGTCGGCTGGTTCCAACCGTACTGCGCCTATCTGGGGCTCGCCTGGATGACCACTGTGGCCCTCCTGTACGGCTACCCGTCATTCAAGCCCTGGTCGGTTTCGACCTTCTTCTCCAGCTACACGATGCAGATCTTCATCCCTCCTCTCTTCATAATCTGGAAGGTGGTGAAACGGACCAAGTTCGTCAAGCCGCACGAAGCCGATCTCGTCTGGGAACGCCCGGTCGTCGACGCCTATGAGGCAACCTTTATCGATCCCCCGGTCGGTTTTGGCGCGAGATGGGCCAGCTCATTGGTATTGGGAGGACCAAGGGCGGGAATGAGAGACGGGTTGCACAGCCTCAACAGAGCCCTGATAGCTCAAACAAAAGTGGCAATGCGTCACCTACGGTCGAGGCCTGAGAGATGGTTGGGACGGCCGAGGACAGTCGGGCCAATGTTCTCCGAGCATAGCAAGTAGCTGACTCTGTGCGACCGTGAAAGGTACCTAAGCTTCTTCGAGCATCTTTTACTGTGGGCGTAATGACGTGCGGTACATTATGTGGCAGGTACAACCAGCTCTTATAGCAGCAATGGATCCAGCGCACGAGCATTCCACAGGTAGCAAAAGTCGGTGTCCGAAGTCTTGTTCCTTTTCCATCTTGGCACCCACACCTTCCCGCCAGCTCATCGTCGCGCTCGAGGCGTGATAGGAGAGGGGTTACGGCGGCGGCTGCTACTCGGCAGGCTGCATACACACCAGGTAACCAACCGGTTATCCATCATCAAAAACGTTGCAACGAGCGAGGACACACCGACGACCCAGCGCGTTTGATCCACTGGCCAAGCGGATATAGCCAAACGCCGATAATTCCGCGCCAAGTTTTCATTGACCTGCCCCCATGATCCGTCGCTTTGCTATATAAGACAGATAAAGTAATTACCGGCTGAGGTCGGTCGAACGGGACATCAGTCAAGGCGTGCCATCAAATATTGCCTGCTTCGTCATCCATCAGTTTTCATGCCCAGCATGTCGGACATGTATCCTCAATATCTCCCCTCTCTCAGCGAGCGCGATGCGATCGCCGACGCCTTATACCGGGTCGCCATCGGTTGTGACCGAAACGACGTTCAGCTCTTCAACTCGGGATGGGCCGGGGAAGATGTATCCTTTAAGATACACCGCGACGACGAAACAGTCATGTCTAGTCTCGCCGTTATCCGCGAGAACATCCTCGATATTGTTGGTCCCATGGATACCACGCACAACGTTACCATGGTTCGTGTGAATTTGAGGGATGGCGCCGACACTGCCACTATGACTGCGATGTCGACCGCCTATCACAGCTCTGCCGGCATGGGCAGAGATCCGACCGGGCCAGAGTACATTGCCGGCGGGGAGTACTTGGCCAACCTCATCAAGGATGGATCGGGCGTGTGGAGGATCAAGAAGCTGGTCTTGCGTGTTATCTGGACGCAGGGAGACCCCTCAGTGGTGTGGCCCGAGTCACAGGCAGCTGCATAAATGGTGGATCGTTGGTGTATAGAAAGCCCTGGGGTCCTTTGTCTTCGACCTAGTGTCGACCGCAATGCGATGCGCACCTCCCGCCAGCCACTTCTGCTTCTTCCCGGTACAAAACCCGGCGCCTCTCCCTTGCCAGAGAGATACACGCTGTGGTGAGAACATCCAACGATTTCCGCCGAGGGCTCCGCTCACCGCAACGTGCCGGGGAGCCCTACGGCGCTAGGGGTGCCGAGGGAGGGAATCGGGGCGCGGGTGAGGAATCAGGGGTGGGGGATAAAAGGCGGGCAAGGCGCCAGGGAAGTGCACGCATCTTGTAATATACTTAGTTACTAAAACTAGAAGAAACTTTTCTTTAGAAGTTCTCCTGTTTCCTGTCCAAACCTGAAAATACCTAAAAGCAAGAAGTAGTGCGATGAGCCAGCGCCTTCTAGCACAAGGTGTTTTGCACCACACAACCCAAGGTGCAAGGAGCAATGGATGGTAACATGGCATACATTCTACTCAAAACGGCGGACGACTTTGACCATCAGCAGGAGACGCTATTCCGGAACGGAACCCTAAGGAGCACGACGGTCTCAGCAAGGCGAAGAGCTCACTGCTGATTCAAATCCGGACGGGAGCAATAGGCTTACGGGACTTCTTGTTTACACGGGGAGTCCCGGGGGTTCTGACTCCTGCCTGCGAGTGTGGCGAGGGACGAGAGACTGCCGAACACCTGGTAGTGTGGTGTTTGGCCCCACCGTTGACTCGAAGATGGGAAAGAACTTGAATTCGGACACGACGGGACTTTTGCTCTGTTCTTCACGGCATCAATCCCTCGACTGCACGGCTCGCGAGGAGAGTCCTCGACTGGCTGATGGACTCAGGGAAGCTGCCGATGTACAACTTAGCTAGGAGGCTCGAGCTGGAAGCGGCGGCCTGAAACGCCCCCGTCCGGAGGCCAGGAGGCCTCCTCTCTTTGTATACGCAGACTCACCAGAACGCATCGTTCCTTGATTGTTGTTATGGGTTTTTCACCCGGCCCTGGAGGGCACGGTTTTCCTGTACACTAAATAGCAGAGGGTCCGGCACGCCCTGGGGCATAGCGGAGTATGAATAATAATTTTACTCAAAAGCTTTTTCAAGTCCCAACACAAAATGCGACCAGTTATGGTGTCTCGGCTAACGGCTCGACCCCCATTTGTGGCGTACATGTAGCCCACCCTCCTCGTTCGTCACGGGACCCAACGTGGGAATCTAGGAGTATGAAGTGGTGAAAAAGTGATGCAAATCGGGACCTGTACGCGACTACATTGTAAACCTAGCGAGGTAGACTCCAGAGTTGTTCTCGATATCAAGGCTTAAGTATCGGCCGTCGAGGGCAGCTGTAATACAAGTACCTAACGAACGGTTAAGGGGTTTAACATTTTTAAAACCCAAGAACTCTAACTACTGCATTTCCCACCTCATTCCCCGATTTCAACCCGACATCCTTTGAGGGTGGGTCTAACAAAGTCTGGAGGAATAACGGTGTTTGTATTTTGCCCTTAAATAAGATATTGCCCACCCAACCTCTTACGCCGCAGCAAAGCAAAGAGCCTCGATGTTGTTCCCGACCGGATCCAGCACAAACGTAGCAAAATAGGTCGGTCCGTAATGCGCCCTCACACCCGGCACACCATTGCACTTCCCCCCGGCAGCAACCGCCGCCTGATGGAAAGCCTCAACTCCCGCCCGATCTACACCCCCAAACCATGTTAGCCCACATCCATCACCCATCCCCCCCAACCCAAAACCACGCAGAGAAAAAAAAGAAAAAAGAAAACCCACCCTTCGCCGCAAACGCAGTATGCGTCGGCAAGATCCCCGCCCCATCCACGGCCGCGCCCTCAGCAGCAGGGGCACCGAACGACGCGGCCGCCGACGAGGTGACCCACCAGTCGATGGCGCCGGAAGCGTCGGCGAAACCGACGACCAGGCCGTCCTGGAAGTCCATGGCCCTGGTGTAGCCGAGCGGGGCGAGGGCGGCTTCGTACCAGGCGACGATGGCGGTGTGCTGGGCCGCGGGGACTTTGAGGCCGGTGTGGGAGATGGTCATTTTGGGTGGTGATGGGGGTTGGTTCTGGGGGATGTTTTGTGTTTAGTGTTGTGGGGGAGATTGGTATGGTGAAGATAGGATGGAGACGATGAGCATTAGAGCGGGTGAAGAAGGGGTTTATATCTCTCGCTTGGTAGCGGGATGCAGTTTCGTGGTTGATGCCAGCGACATTGAACGTGCATGTTGCCCTTGGCACGTCGGCGGTCGGGGCGTCTGGTCGCCCGTGGTCCGTTGTGCCCAGGCCCCCTGGCTGTGGAGGATTGATCCTTCGTCGCGTGTCGCGTTGGATGATTGGGTTGGTGCAAAGCCTCTGACGCGTGATTGACGCAAGATCCCGTGCACATCCGGCTGAGTCACCGGCAAAGCATCCTCGGGGACTGGGCGGAAAAGGGGTGCCTCAATGCAGGGGCTCCGAGGTCCGTCGATCTCCGAGAACTCTAGACCGAGCGTTTGCAAACACTCGGACAACCTCTTCTCGACCTGGGCTGGGAATTTTTATTTGTACAAGTTCACATAACCATCCAAAGACCGATCGGTGTTTCAAGTATTGAACCACCGTCTGGTCAAGGGACCTTCTGGTCTTCGACCCCTTGTCCCAAATTGCCTGCAGCGTTCCAGCTGAGTAGCCTGTGAAATTCAAATTCAAAGTCTCGAAATAACGCTGCGATTGAGGAACACTTTCCACCACAGGCGTTGATTGGGACGCTGCTGCTGGGCCGCTGCACCAGGAGCAGCACGGGGGCAGAATGAACCTTGCGAACTACGTTTGTATAGGTACGCAGCCTAAGTCCCTACCTTAATATTACAAAAAAGACAGAGACTACGATTAACCGAATTTATTTCTGGACCAAAATCAACCAATCCTCCCAAATCTTAACCACCCTCAGTCGTTGGCTTTATGGCAAATGTATCATCATATTATTATTATTCATACTCCGCTATGCCCTAGGGCGTGCCGGACCCTCTGCTATTTAGTGTACAGGAAAACCGTGCCCTCCCAGGCCGGGTGAAAAACCCGTACCAACAATCAAGGAGCGATGCGTTTTAGTGAGCCTACATATACAAAGAGAGGAGGCCTCCTGGCCTCCGAACGGGGGCGCTTCAGGCCGCCGTTTCCAGCTCGAGCCTCCTGGCTAAGCTGTACATCGGCAGCTTCCCCGTGTCCATCAGCCAGTCGAGGATCCTCCTCGCGAGCCGTGCAGTCGTGGGATTGATGCCGTGTAGAACAGAGTAAAAGTCCCGTCGTGTCCGAATTCCAGTTCTCTCCCATCTTCTAGTCAACGGTGGGGCCAAACACCACACTACCAGGTGTTCGGCAGTCTCTCGTCCCTCGCCACACTCGCAGGCAGGAGTCAGAACCTCCGGGACTCCCCGTGTAAACAAGAAGTCTGTATCATCATATTAAAGGTTAAGTCATGAAAGCGCTGTTCTGTCCGCCGAATTTGGCTGGCGTGTCTCGTTATATGAGACGGCCCAGGCAGTGGGGCGGCGTCCAGAACCCCAAGGAAGTACCCAGTACCTGTCATCGTGTGTCCTACAACCTTGCCCTTCGCATCCTCGCCATAGCATGCACTGCCAGTCTACGGAGTTGTTGAAAACCCCAATCCTAGTGCAAACATCCTGAACCAGGTCCTTGGCCCTGAGAGCTAGCAAGTTAAAATAGCTCTTCCTCCTTGCTGGTTTCCTCGCGTCGTCCACTCTTCCCGCTAAAGTTAGAGTAATTATCCCCCGTCTCTCTCACTTTTCGGAACCCTGTCCTCGTCTTTAGCGGCGCTCTCCAAACCAACGGCATAACAGACGTCAGCCCTAGCGGAGGAGCTTGTCACCATACCCACTTTTCACCAAACAGTCCACTCAACGAGAGACTCAGCGACGAGATATATATTGGAAGTTTTGGATATCCTGGGAACTGGGCACCGATGCGCCCGGTGTTTTAGGTGCCTTGGCTGGTAGCTATTTTACAGGGTCTGGGAAACACCGACCTTCTCCCAACAACTTCAAACGTGTACAGATATGCATCTCAGTTACCGTACCCCTTCGCACTAGCAACGCAAATCCCAATTGTGGAAATAAGAAGACCCCATATCGAGTAGATTGTATGTTTCTTGTCTGCCTCCTTACAGACACTAATCTCCTCTAGAGAGCCACCACCTTGAATGACGTTCTCCTGAAAGCTTTGGGGGATGCGCTTGGTCGTACGCGCAAGTCTCATGTAGCACCATAAGCAATAGGAGCAAAAGAAACCCCCCCCCAGCGATACCTCCAAGGTCTCCCGACAGCGAATGGGCTAGCCAAAGCCCGGGGGAGTTTAGTGCAAGGGAATGAGAAGCACTGATTGCCGAGAGAAAAGCGCTCGAATCATTAGCAACTCTTTCCTCCACGGTGGGGGCATTTTCTTGCTCGGGAGCAACATCCCCCGTCTTCAGCGCCATCTTGTTATGTTTTGTTCTCCTGCGGTGTGCTTTCTTCCCTGGAAATTCAGTCTCCTGTGGTCCGTTGTCCCTCTGGTAAACAACTCCTTGTTCTAGGGTACCATCCGGTAGAGTGCCTATCCGCCGCATGGTAATCCCGTTCCGCAAGGTCCATTCCTCTTGCAGGATCTCCTTATGGAGGCTTCCAGGCTGCCTCAAGTGTTGTGGCAACAAGGTGAAACACGCCATAGAAGTCATTGCCAGAGCAGCATTCGCCGCGACATCCGAGATTTCCGCACTTAAAGGTGCTAAAACCACGAGGCTGGTAGATAGAAGGAGAATCTGCAGGTCATTCAAGCCCTTAGTCGCGGATAGTATCGGTAATGCAGCTGTCGTTATGAAGTAGGAGGCCCACGAAACAACGCTCATCAGTGATATCGGCCCGCTAAGGGCAGCGGTCTCAAGAGCGTACATACAGTCGACTATGCTAAGGCTCGCCCCCAGGATGAATCGAGGAGCGACAACGTGGTTGGTTGTAGGCGTCTGGATGTGAACGTCCGCTCGAGATGTAGTATCGCGTCTCGACAGATAAAGATTGCTGACCATCGGAATAGTAGAGCCCAGAGCAGCCTGAACCTGATTTCGGGAATCGTGGATATGAAGTTCGAAGACGAGGTTTCGGGACCGGAAGATCTCATAAAGCACACCGGGGCCTCTCCATTCTCGCACGCCTGGAGGTAGGCTATCAAGCCGTCCATATAAGTGCGACCGAGATACGCAGCTACGCTACCAATTTCGGCGCCGATGTTGGGAAGAGATCGGACTTGAATTCCCGTAGAGAGAGAAGTTTAGCACGCCGTACTGTTTTGAAGATCCTACAGAATGAAAGTTATCAGTCCAGCCCTCCATAGGCGCTTAGTCCTCAATTGTGAATGAACATACCTTATAGGTTCTGCATGCTTGATAAAGAGCCAGGTCGTAGCTCTTTTTTCGCGTAGTAATTGGCATTATTCAGACCGGACCAGGAAACTGCGCCAAGGATGACAGCAAAAATAAACCCGAGTGTGGTCGAGGTGAGCCCGATTTTGTCAAGAAACCGGCTAAAGTTTGAGTTAGCCTCGGGCTGATGAGGAGGGGTTTCCTGATCACTCGATCCAGAAGTTGATTCTGGAGTGTGTTCATCAGTTGCACGCGGCGGGGTAATGCCAACGGTAACAGAGACAGGCACATTGGCGGGTTCGATTTCGCGGTTGACAGCTGCGACAGGGCCAGTCGTATCCGGCTCAGGCTCTTCGTCGCCTAGGATCGAATCGGGGCTTTCAGCATGCGGGGAAATTCGCTCGCCGGTGTCACGCTGAAGTTCTCGTAAGCGAATCATGTTTTTGAAGGTGTTGGCGAAGACCCTCCGGTAAGGAAGCGGTGTCGAACGGGCGGATCGGGACCTGAGTTCTCTCGTTTATTTTTACGCAGCGATTGGTGGCTTGGGATCCCTTACGCTTCTTATCACACTTATACTACATTTCTATTAGTTATCGCTCAAAGTATTTACACCTCTACACTCTCGTTATCGCTACTTATAAGCCTAGGTACTTAACTCTAAGGGATCTACCCCCGCCACAGCATCTGAGATCTGAATTTACCTAGTCGTGTGATCGAATAACCTCAACTCTATAGCTCGTAATGGTATCTCGCGGTTACCGCGACGCGGTATACCCTACTACGGTCGAAGGGCTACTCGAAAATTAGCCCGCCGAGTATCTTCCCCCGCGAAAACGCCACGTAGACGGTAGGAGAGGCCAGAAGCACACTCTAGCGCAGAGATATCGCAGATAGTCTTATCCAGGTTAACGCCCTATCACTTATAGACGGTAATCGCATGGCTAACCAACAGCGGGAACTACTCTCGAACATGAGTTGATACCGACTATAAAGTCCTCCCGTACTTGGAGCATAGGAACAACTTGCTTCTCTCCGCCACAGAACGGCTCCCCGTTTGGCATTGTAAAGGCCGGGCCGTCGTAGTTATTGAAGGGTACCATAATAACCTCGGGCGGGTCTCGCAGCACGTCAGCACCTTGTTTCCACCCAGACAACGTGTGCCGTGGCTTAGACAGCTGTTTTTGGCGGGCGCGTGGCCTCAAGTTTCCGCCGTCCAGGTCGCTCCCATGGCTACATCTCTGGTAGGACACATGTCCCTCTCGCTGCTGACAGCACCTGCATAGTACTAAACACTAGGCATAACTATATATTCCTGACCGGAGGACAATATTACGGGAAAGCACTATGGAAAAGTCATAAGTTAATCGCGCGTCTTACCGTTGTCACACAGTTACACAGGGTTTAGAGTGCTGGGAAAACCGGAAGCTTCAAGTAAACCCTCTCCTGACTTCGTTTCTTTGCCTTACCTAAACCGTCGCAGCATACCATATCCCGAGCCAGCATTGCCCGAGGAGGTGAACGGCTTTACTGATGCGCTTCGCATCTTTGCCACCAAGGGTCGGGTCGTCAACAGGGTCCGAAATAACGCAACGCAGTAACGCAAAGCTTTGCAACGCAACGCACAACGCAACGCAAAGGACCTCAGCTTGAGCCCAAATCAACGCAACGCAGAGGGCTCAACGCGTTGCCGCGTTGAGGTAAAATGACGTCAGGAAAGAGTAATTGTGAACCTATTCTCAGTATATCTCGCATTGCAAAAACAGTGATTTGAGGGTCTTGATGGTGTTGCCGCCCAGGTGGGCTCGAAAACAGGGGATGACTTCCTGACTGGGCTGGCCCAAGTGGGGTACCGGGTTCGGAAAAACAGCTCACCCGGGTAAAAAACCGTGCCCCTCAGATTGAAGACATCGCCAACAGGCTGAATCTCTCAGAAATGCAATAAAACAGATCAAATCCAATTTTGTTTCAATTTGTGGCCCGTGCGCACTTGCCTGCCCAGTCCTGCCCAGCCCACAGCGCCGTGATAAGTTTGTCGACATTTGTACAGAGGGCGGGTCTAAGCCCGGAGGCGCTCGCCGAATTGGGCGACGTTGTTAACGAGAGGGATCCGAAGTTTGTTCAACTTGTTGCGGACAACGATACTCGATGGAACTCCGTCTATTTGATGATTGAGCGTGCCCTACGCCTTCGTTTTCAGATTGACTGGTTCTGTCAATGGTCGTTAGAGGAGAAGGATGCGAAGCGGCGTCTTCCAAGCGAAGACCGTCTTGACACAGAGGACTGGGTCCTCCTTACAAATATCAAGGCCATCTTGGAACCAGTTCATCGTATCACGAGGACGTTCGAGGGCCATGCACCTCGCTTCGGGGAGGTTATCGCTACCACTATCTGGCTCCTTGACAACTTCCAAGATCAGCGACAATCTCTAGTGCCTATGACTGACGAGGATCTGTTTACAGCGGTACATCGCGATAACTGTAGCCTTGCAAAGTTTTGCAATCGCTGGAGAAAGACCCCAACGCCAGACTGTTCTTCCAAGGCGGTATGATGGCCAAGTAAAGGTCAATTTACCAGGGCACAGGTAAGTGGCAATACCCTCATCATTGACACAGCCAATCAGCTTACAGTTGTAAAGACGGGGTGCCATCCGGCCTCCCGATGTCTCCTTCGACAGACCCATTCCGCCGGCTGAACAACAATCCACCTTCGAGCTCACCGACGTTGGGCTAACCCTTCTACGGAAGAGCCTCGACTTCGCCATCGCCAAGCTGCAGCAATATATAACGTTGATGGAGGATGTCCCAGTATATTGGTCGGCGATGATCTTGCTCCCTTCGTACCGAACAAGGTGGATTGAGCGCTTCCTGGCGCACGATCGGGCGACAGCCATCATCGCGCGGTTTAAACAACAATATCAGGAAGAATACGAGGGCATTGGAGGCACCCAGCCAACGCCAACTGAGGAACCGCACGAGCAGCCGCGCCGGCCATATCAAGACCGGCTAGTTGGCCACGACTTCTACTACCCAAAGCCCGACCCAGCGGATATTGACGAGGTCGCGATATATCTGGCTGAGCCCGTCAGACCAGCTCCTGACGCATTAGCTTGGTGGATAGGGAACCAGGCGCGTTTTCCCCGCCTTTCGTTGATGGCGTTCGACCTTCTTAGCATCCCAGTGATGTCTTCGGAGTGCGAGAGGGTATTCAGCAGTGCGAGGCTCACAGTGGGCTTAAACCGCTACAACCTCAGCGACAACAGCATCAACATGGTGGAGAGTTTGAAACAGTGGTTGAAGAGAGGGCAGGAAGGTTGTATATAGTCAGTTGGAGGGGGTGTTCAGGGGCTGGACGGGGCGGATCAACACCTTCCGAAGCCTTAGTAAGCCGCTTTGCAACGCGTCAATGCAACGCAAATCGCCGTGGATGAGCCTCAAATCAATCATCTCCAGCCTCAAATCAACGCAAATCGGGCCCTGCGTTGCGTTGCGTTGCGTTATTCCGGACACTGGTCGTCAAGTACAACCACCAACACATGACAGCCCCGCCATTCACGTCGAGGTAAAGCACGAGGGTGTTGGTGTGGAGAAGGTTGAATCCTCGAATGCCGGTAACTTGGCCAAGCGCTTACCCTTGTGTGTTGATTATAGAGTGATGTTGACGCGGATTTTTGTGGGTCAATGTCGGGCTCGTTAACGGTGTATAGGGTATATCCTGGAATTGGTAGTGTCCACCGTTTCCAGCATTAGGCCACTACTAGCTAGAATATCAGACGAGCGGCGTTGGACTGCCAAGCATACAAAAGAAATATGTGGACTTCGCGGAGCCACAGAGCTACCGCCGAGGATCCACCGGCAAAAGTAAACGATCAGACTGGGATTCGAACCCAGAACCTTTACCACGTTCCAAAGGACCGGAAAGTAACGCGCTACCATTGCGCCATCCAACCTGTCGACTTGTGGTTTGCCGGGGATGCGCTGGTGATGTTGTGGCGAACAGGAGTGACCGTGCCCGCTGCGCGCGGGCACGCCAAAGGAGCCTGCAGGAACTTACCGGCTGCAGGTAGGCCCCATAGCGGAGTCAACGATGTAATTGTCTTTTTTTCCATTTCATGGTGGTTATTGACGAATGCTGGGAAAGTAAGGAAAGGTGGTTTCTTCAGCCAGACTAGCGTCTAATCGCACAGTCGCGCCCTCTTTTTTCCCGCTGTAGACTAGACCTTTTGCTTCGGATCGGCTCCGGAGAAGTTTGATTCTTTCTCTTTCTTTTTGGAGTGGTGTCCACCGGAGCGAGTTGATCTTCCAACAACTGCTCTGCGTTTGAACCGTCGTCGGTGTGATCGGTATCTTGTTGGTGGTTAGCCCAGTTAGCCAGCTCGAAGGAAGTCATACCTGGGCTTGAAATTGTAAGCACTGGCTCGGCGTGGGTTGTGGTCGAGTTCGGCGGTGCTTCAAGTGTGGCCGGTGGCTCGGTTGCCTCATGATCCGGATGCTTCCGGGGCTGTGCCGGGTTTTTTTCTTTATTTGCCAATGAGTTTTGGCCGCCAGCGGGTGAGGAGAATGGGTTCCAGCTTGTGATTCCTCGTGGACCGGTTGAGCGTGGTGTTGTAGGCACTGTGCTAGGTCGTATGGGTGTCGTGTTGTGAGCGGTTAAACTGCTTTGTCGAATAGACTCCCAGTCGTCTGGAAGAACTACTGGGATGCAAACGCTTGTGTCGACGAGTTGAGGGCCTTGGATGAGGTTTAAATCGAGAACTCCCAAGAGGCGACCGCTGCATGCGATCCAGGATCCTCTTGGAAATGGGTTGACAGCTGTTCGCATCCAGCCGGCTAACGACTTCCACGGTTGTTGTTCAACGGGAAAGATGAGGAGGACGTGGCAGACGTGGATACCTTTGTGATGGGGGCGGTCGTTCTCCCGCTGCAAATACGAGGCCAGCTTGACAAACACTGCAGCCTTGGTGAGTGGTTTTGGCCAGGCTGTGTCCACGAGAGAATGTATCCAGATCGACGGGGCCGGTAAGGGACACACGTGCTGATGTGCCTGGCCAGGGGACCGTTTCATCGGGGTTAGCGAGTCGCCGGGGGATAATCCTTGGATGCGTCAGCGTCCATTGCGAGTCATAGTGATGGCATGGTTAAACCACCATCACGCGGCATTGCGAGGGTAACCTTCACGGATTGGGGATCGTCTGTCTCCCATCCGTTGGCTGCTACGCCTTCGAAGGCAAGTTTGTTCGGGAAAGTCGGGCGGCTATGGTGAACCATCTTTTCTCCCAATCCTCTTCCAGTGTTGTTGCTTTCGGTTCTGTGTTAAACATGGAGAGTATCACTGGCAGCCCCGAGCTCTCTTCATCTTCGGTGCTAAGGAGCCGTGGATAGAGGTCGTGGATGAAGGTGGGTTGATGAATGGGAGTAAGGTCCCGGCTTTGAAGTTTCCCGCGCTTGTGTAGCGGGAGCCGGTTGGCAGGATCTCGCATTGGGCCAAGTCGGAGTGGTAGGTGACGATGAGGTCTCCGCTAGTCGCGCCTTGGTCTCGCTTGTTTGGTAGTGGGGGTTTTGGGTAAACGACAGAGGCGGAAGAAGAAGCCATCTTGACTGCAATGGAATTATAAACAGTATCAGGAGATGATTGTAGTTTAGGTCAGAAAATCGGGATGGAAAGAACGTATTGAGTTCCTTGGATTGGGAAAATGGAGCACCGCGGTGTAAAAAAGGTGGCCTCTAGCACCGGTTTGACCTCATCGCCGATGTATGACGCCGCATTCTTGAGTCTCCAGTAAGCTATATCGTCATCTAGGGGCTTCGGTAATCAGATCCCGTAAAGATTAGCCTCTGGGGCGTAATCTCACAGAGCTGATAGGTTCCGTGTATTTTGTGCGTCAAAGAAGCAATTTGCTTCGCTACCCTTCGTCACGTAGACGACCATCGAGCCGTAGGCCTTGCTTGTATCCTTCCTGCTGAGCCAGGCAATCTTGGCAATGTTGACGTTGTTCTCTGTAGTCGTGGTTCCAGGAATGGGACGTCATGGCCGAATCAGCGCAGACTAAAGCTGCTGACGAAGAAGCGGGTGCGTCGCTCTAGTAGTATAGTCAACCCATAATAGGTTTCGACCCTGAACACCTCATTTTCGCCACTTTTTGACAGAAATTTGATTTCTTGGTTCGTGATTGTCGAGGATTGCGCGACGGAGGCACGCAAAGGCACGAGCGAAGCAGCGAGCGAGTCACAGGGGCCCTGATGCCAAAGTGCGGGTAAGCGGCTTTTTTACGGCGATTTGATTGGCCAGAACAAAGCAACAACGGTCCATGCACCTCCACCGCCAAGACCAACTGCGAGATGCCAATTCGAGGAAGCAAAATGCAGATGACGCCAGAATTCGAGATGTAATCGAGAGAAGTCGAAAAGGAGAAAAAAGCCAAAATTCTACAGTGAGAAATCGACAGTACAGGTTAGAAAGACACCATTTTGTAGGTTTTTCATGAAGAAAAAACTGGTCCGTGCTTAGAGCAGGCCATGGCATTTTTGACCTAAGGAACCTGGAGTTCCTCCAGGCATACGGGTAGGCAACAGGACTGAGAAAATACCCTGCTTGGCAAATTTTTGCTGCACAGTGGCTTAAAATTGCTGGCGTCGCTTCGTTCGTCAGTCGCGCGGCCCTTCGCTACGCTACGGGGCGCTTCCTTCCTCTCTCCCGCTCCTGGCAATTTTCCTGTCCCTCTCCGGAGGACAATCCGGGTTAGGGTTGAATACGGGAGAGACGAAGCGCCAATATCTGTCCGTCGGCCAACAACTCCATCCACTTGACCTTCTCGTCACACTTATACCAATCATTTCTATTATATTCTAAGTACTCATGCCTCTACACTCTCCTCGTCGCTACTTATAAACCCACTTAACTCCTCTGAAGGATCCACCCCCGCCACAGCATCTAACGCCTGCAGTCGCCTAGTAGCGTGATCCAATAACTTCAACCCCATGGCTCGTGATGGTGTCTCGCGATAGACCCTGCTGCGGTCGAAGGGCCGCTCAAACATCAGCCCGCCAAGTGTCTTTACTCGGGAAACGGCCACGTAGGAGAGGCCAGAAGCAAACTCTGGCGCAGAGATATCGCAGACGACTTTGTCCAGGGTGATGCCCTGTGACTTGTGGACAGTGATCGCATAGCTGACCAACAGCGGGAACTGCTCTCTTGAACATGAGTTGGCGCCGACCATGAAGTCCTGCCGCACTCGGAGGATGGGAACAACCGCGGTTGCAAACGCCGTCCGCCATGAGTTTGATGTCGAACCAACGCTCCTTGCAACGCAGGCATCGCTGCATCTTCTCTGCGGCAAGCGCTTCGTCGAACTCTCTTTTCGTCGCCATGTCTTCGGCTAACAGTGGCGTCTCCTGGTCGTTGCCTGTGAATCGGGGGCCGGGTTCGTCGAATTTACGTGGAGGATTCTCTTCAGGGAGGGGGTTGGTTGCGTGGGCGACCGACAGGATTGCGTTCTAGTCGAGGGCGTCCATAACGGCGTCCGCGAGACCGGGGCAAAGACGCAGACGGAGGGGAACGGCGCTTGGGAGGGCGTCCGCGGCGGGGAAGCTGTGGTGGTGTGTGCTGCAAAGCATCCGCGTCGCCTTCCAAACCCTCTTCGTCAGGCGCTGGCCCGAGCAGTCGCCATATCTGGAGTATCTGTTGCAACTCGGCCGCCTTTGGGAAACATGCTAGCAAGGACGCCGTGCGTGGGGTTCTGGCGAGGTGCGGGCACGAGAGGTCGTAGTGCAGGTATTGGAGCAGGCGCAGAGCTTTCCCGGCCGATTACCTGCAATGATGCAATGCTGGCTCGGGATAACTATGGTATGCAGCGACGGTTTAGGTAAGGCAAAGAAACGAAGTCAGGACAGGGTTTACTTGAAGCTTCCGTTTGTTCCGGCATTCTAAACACTGTATAACAACCTTCCCATTACCGCGAAGGTCATGAAACTGGCCGATGTCTTTTTCGGTGCGGCATCCACGACACATCTTGCGCGCCACCGGTGCGGCGCTGTTGTCCATGATAACTGTCAACCCCGCCCATAGCGGAAGTAAAAGTGTTTCGCGACAATCGACAAACACTTCGTTCGCGAGAAATCAATTGAACGCGCAAGGTGATGAGGCACGGACCCAGGTCCCAAAACTTTGACCAATCCCCGATGGACGATAAGGCAGGCTAAGACCCGCAATTAACTTATCACTTTCCCATAGTAATTTCCAAAAGTTTGAGCACAATATTGTCCTCCGGACAGGATAATGACCAAATATCATGTACGTACATAAAGTAGATATCTGGAATGTGTCCTGTCAAGGTAATGTGCAGGTAGTTGACCCGAGGGTCATGTTCAGACGTCGGTTCTGTTAGAAGGTACTAAGACCAGGAGGTCTGAGCACAGGAGGGTCAATGGGTCAAGAGTCTCATAGCCTCCTAGGTTCAGCCGTGTAAATTCCCATCTTCCTGTGTGTGTGACACCTTGGATCAGTGGCTGTTGGTCTTCCAACAGGTTCAACGCAACCCAAATTCCATTCTTTTACTCTCGCATGTCCTCCTATGGCTAGTAACACAACCTACATAGGTAAGGAAGATAGCACCGTCGTCGAACCTGCTTCGAGAGATAAACTTCTACTTGCTGCTCGGCGGCACCGACCGAAACAGATCGACCAATCCCTCCGCCATCGTCGGATGAACAATCGTCAAGTCCACCAACTCCTTATACGACAGCCCCAACTTCATCACCAACTGCACCACCGGCAACAACTCGCCCGCCCCCGGCCCCAGCGCCGTAAACCCCAACACCCTCTCCCCTTCCTCCTCCACCAAAGCCTTCGCAAACCCCTCCGTCTCCCCCAGCGCCCTCGCCCTCAAAAACGCCCCCATCGGCGCCCTCACCACGCGATACCCCACCCCCTTCTTCTTAGCCTCCTCCTCCCTCAATCCCACATGCGCCAGCTCCGGCGTGGTAAACAGCACCGACGGCACCTGCCTCCCCATCGTGCCCGCCTCGCGCGGCGCCCCCGTCACCACCCCCAGCAACACCCGGTAGTCGTCCCACCCCATGTGCGTGAAGTAGGGGCTGCCGGCGCAGTCGCCCGCGGCGAAGACGCCCGGGACCGAGGTGCGCAGCTGCGCGTCCACGGCGATGTGGCCCGTTGGGGTGAGCTTGATCCCCGCGGCGGCGAGGCCGAGGTTAGCGGTGGTGGGGGTGCGCCCGGCCGCGACGAGCAGGTGCGTGCCGCGGATGGAGGTGGGTGCGGCGCCGGCGCCAGGGGTGGGGTGGGAGAGCGTGAGAGTGACTTCGCTGCCGGAGGTGCCGCTCACGTGCGTGACGCTGGTGGAGGTGAGGAAGTCAATGCCCTCGCGGGCGAGGAGGCGCGTCAGTTCGGCGACGACGTCGCTGTCTTCTTTGGCGAGGATCTGGGCGTTGCGCTCGATGACGGTGACGCGCGAGCCGAAGCGCGCGTAGGCTTGGGCGAACTCGATGCCCACGTAGCCGCCGCCGAGGATGATCAGGTGCGAGGGGAGGGTCTTGATGTCGAGGAGCTCGACGTGGGTGAGGGGATTTGCGTCCGCCAGGCCGGGGATGCTTGTGTCGACGAAGGCCTTGGAGCCGGTGTTGATGAGGACTGTCTCGGCGGTGAGCAGGCGCCCGTTGCAGCTGATGGTCTTGGGGTCGACAAATTCGCCGTGGCCCCGGATGAGCTCGGCCTTGGTCTCGGCAAAGATTCCGAGGAAGAGGTCGGCCATGCCGTCGACTACTTCCTGTTTTCGGGCGAACACCTTTGCCATGTCTGCATTGAAACCGTTGCCGGCAGCTCCAGGTGTGGATGCCTGGGCCTGGCGCGCGAGGTGGGCTAGTTGAGCCGAGTGGAGGAGTGTCTTGGTGGGCATGCAGGCGACAGTCGGGCAGGCGCCGGAGATGGGACCATGCTCGATGACAGCGCATTTCTTTCCATACTTTGAGGAGAGATCCCATGCCAGGAGCTTGGCCGGTTCCCCGCCGCCGAGGGCGATGAAGTCGTACTGTTCGGGGGTCGCCATTGTGTAGAGGTGATTAGAGACTTTTCAGGCCGTTTCCACGGTGCTGAAGGGATATTGATGTGTGAAATCGGTTTAGCTTTCTTGTTGATGTTGGGATACGAGAATTGTAAGTTGTGGAACACAACAAGTCTTACCTACCCAGGCGGCACGGTGCCTTATATGCCTACATGCACGTCGAGAACAGACTGAGGCGAGTCCCCTTCGAGTGCCACTCTCAATGTCTCCATCGTGCCCGTGCTGCAAGCGTTTGGAATCATCAGATTCATCATACGGCAGGTCTACATGCTAACAAGCAACATCCGATCTTGACGTTGGTCTGTCACCAACTTCATTTTGGCCTCTCTTAATTCAGATTCAAGCATTCAGCCGATTCGTGGCGTGTTTTGGAATCTCCAGGTTTGGCCCACAAGTCTCAAGGAGCGTGGTCTTATTCGCTCAACCTCTTTGGAATCTTGTCAAGCGGAACCACACCCGCTTCCAGATGATTGGTCGTCTTATTTTCATGCAGCCGACAGAGCAAACGGTTACATAAGGGTGCGACGTGCGTGGGGAACCAGCAGACGTTACACAACAGGAATGGCCGAACGCTGTAATCTAAAAGTCGAGCCCTTATGAAAATCCCGGAAAGCTTACTCATGCTCCCGATTCTGCTCCGAATCTTGCTCCTCGGCGCGTGCCGTTCGGCATTCGGATTTACATGAACCGTATTCGACCTTGGGGGACACCTATGGGAGAACCATGTGGCGTGTGTCCAATCTGGACAAGAGTTACCGACGCACTCGCCGTCCCCAGTGCATGAGACTCCAATGGGCGACAGGGGTGTTGTCGTGTGTATGTCGGCCGTAACCATCATGGGTGCCCCAATCTCGCCGTCACCTTACTCCCAGCTACCGCCCGCACCGCCGCCATGGAGCATTGAGGCTCGTGAAAGTCAACCGTAAAGGAATGGGCTAGATCGGAGCAGAAAACAGAAAATTGCGACCTTTTCCCGGGGCAGCCTCAGGTGATGAAATAGCCCGACTTGCAACTCAGATCATCAAATTGGACCCAGTGGGCACCACTATGTACACTCAGGTCACAATTGACGTCGACAACGACGGTGTTATATTGGACCGCGCTCTCCGAACTGGGACGTCCCTGTGCCATACCACATTTGTTTTATCTGAGCGCCCGCCGGATGATGCCCATGTTTCACCCATTTCCTGCTGTGCGACTAGTTCTCTTATTATAGAAAGACACCTGTTTTATATCACGGATCTTCTCGTAGCATGACAGCAGACGGAGTTTCCAACCAGACCTTGCCCAATTTTTGACGTTACATACTGTTCGACCCAGAAAATGAGAGACATGTATGCTCCTTGATCTCTAAAGAGAACGAGAGAATGCAAGACGGTGGCCTTCCTACCAATGAAATGATCGTATACATCGCTAAAGCCTCTTTGATGATCTGAAGATGGATCACAGCCTTCCCTCTGCAGTCTAATCGAGTAGTGCCATGACCCTTGTCTTCCACTCTTCGAACCCTGGGGGATTTTTCAACTCAAAAGTGTCCTTGAAAAGCTTCTGGTGAGTCCCTCTCCGGCTTCCACCCCGAATTCTTTTGGCAGTGGTCGACTGGGCATCCCCATTCACCTGAAACTCCCAATGACGAACACCCCTCTTGTCGTCGCGATGCCCGTTGTCGATGCGAAAATCCTTGTTTTTCCACACCTTCCGCGAAGCCCCTGGACTGTGGTCCGTGTTTGCCGTCGCCTTCAATTTCTCGTAGATTTCTTTTCCCTCGGCCTCGAGGAGCTTCTTGAGTTCCTTACGTCCGGCTTCTGGGTATTCATCCGAGTCCGAGCCGTCTTCAGAAGGTGGTGTGGGTGGGGTGACCGTGGCCCCCCTTGCATTCACCGTGGTCTTAGAAGGCGCGGGCGGGGAAGAGCGGCTCCTCGGCGCGGAACTTATCGTGGAATCGCCCGCAGCGGGTGATCTAGGATTGGAGGAGGCAAATGCCGTATACTAGATTCCAGTGTTGTTTAATCATAAGTAAGTACCTAATACATGTAGACAGTTGGTGGGGGACGGGGATTCAAGGCCGGCACATACCAACAAGTACCCTGCCGCTACGCCAATGCTCCAAGGAAACGGCAGCTCGATCCGCCAAGAACCTCCCTCCTCATATGTCACGCTAACTGAGCGTGCTGCACGCGAGGGACGTAGTTCAAAAGCATCGGGCATGACAGCATCAGGGCTGGTCGCAGCCCTGGCCTCATTGGTAGAGGCAGCCCTAGCCTCACTGGTAGTCGCAATACTAGCCGTATTGCTGGTTACTTGGTTGGAGTGAGCCTCTGCCTCGAATGTTGGCGCCGGACATGGACCCGACTCCGACTCCGACTTCCGAGCGGGCGGCTCGAGGGGAGCGGGTTCGACGCGGTTGTCGGGTTGGGAGGTTCCCTGAATATGTTCTCTGATTTTTGGTATGGCGTCCGCAGCTAGCAAGGCCGTGGGTATCCCCGCAACGGCGACCGTCACCCAGCGGACCAAAGTGGGAGATGCTGAGACAATAAGAGGAGCCGCTGCCGGAAAGGCTGCCATAGTTCCAGATACGCCTGTTGTAAACTGTCTTTCGATAGAGGATACAGCGGGTGGGGTAGAACTAGCAGCGTACCAAAGTTACTGATTTTCACCAGGTTTTTGAGCAGGAGGGGGCAACGTTGGGCTCAAATGCTTCGGGCAATAATCAGGACCGAATCGATGCCCACAACCAGGTGCGGTAGCACAAAAATACCAGCTGACCACACACCTGTTCAGATGATGCCTGGACGCATACGGTACCACAAACATGCCCCTGTGTAGGCCAGTAATAAGAGGACTCTTCATGCCACCTCCCGGCAATCTCCAGCCGGTTCGGTTCAATATTTTGGCATTCCTGGCCGCATCAGTTCGAGGACCAACTTGGCCACAGGCGAGCAGAGAGCCAGTGAGATCTAGGAGCCACGGATTGGGTGGCACTGGGTAATTGGGATTCTCGTGTCTTCCAAAGTTGCGCTAACTCGTATGGGAAAATGCAAATCGCATTGGCATACGCGTACTGGCTGCATGGGGAGTCATGTTAACATCTGGCTTGTAAGTATATTGAGCTGCTGGGAATGAGGATGCGCGCTATCACAGCTTTTCACCGAAGAACCGGTCCTAGGGATATGAGCCAGTCTGGATAACGGGATGGGATTTCAAGACTACATGTAGGTACCTAAGTAGCTACCGACCTAGGTGTTGGAACCAGCGGTATTTCAAGGCATTGGGCGGATCACTGAAGGCTTGGGTCAAAAGGAACGGAGTAGAGGGTGTTGATGGCTGTCAATTGCAGTGCTTGTTGTTGGTTGTTCTTCTGAACTTGTTCAACTGGTCTAATTTTCTGGCGACCAGTAATTTGGTTGGCCCCCCGGGTCACGTGACCCAGGTCCTAGGCGCAAGCCGCCGTGGGCTTGTTCTGACACCAGACGAGTTAAAGGCAAACCGATTTGATCCGGATGTAGTTAGCGTGCTAAGGCCCTATAGGCCCAGTGCCTCCGGGCGAAATAAATTCCATCCATCCATCCATCCATGCCACTCAGCTTGGGCAAACGTGGGGTAACTTCAATGCCCTGATTTTCCTCAACCAACTGAACTGTCCACCAATGGAGTCAGCAGGTACACATCCGCGCTTCTCGCCGTTCGAGACACTGCCTCTTCATCTGTTCCAGTATCTCTGTGAATGTGTTCCTCGGCGAAGTTTATCATGCTTGTCATCAGCGAGCCGTCTTTGCTACCAGGCAACCACGCCACGGCGATTCCGCCGAGTGAAACTCACAATACGCAACAAGGAGAAGCTCCGCCGTGACCTGGATAACCTGCTCGCCGTACTCAGTTCCCGAGATCTATTTCGCCATGTCCACCAAGTGGTAGCCATCGGGTGTATGGACCACGATGGCGGGTCCGAGGACTGCTCTCAGACGACCGACCCTGCCACAGCGGATCAGGACAGCGATGATGACAGCGACAGCGACAGCGATAACGACGACTTGTTCGGGGCAACAATTGGCTCAGGGCCCCCGTTGTCAACACAGCAAAAGAAGGCACAGAATGAGGCCTGGCTCCCATTTGCACTGTTCCTCGGCCAATTGCCCGCCCTGACAGACCTGGTGTATGCTTGCACCCATCAATTACCGCCCTGCGTCCTCGCGGCATTGCATAAATACCACCCGACGAGCCGTCTGCATGTTGACGCCTTCAGTCTCCGTAGCCTCTGCCAAGAGAGGCACCAACTGCACGACATTGACCCGGATGACTTTGCGCTTGCGACCTCACCTTGCCTCTATAACCTGCGTGCAAGATGCCTTCCTTATGACGACTGGGGTCGTTTCAATTTCAACTTGGAGGCCCTGGAGCACATTGTGGCGTCGGGATGCGCCCCTGAACTGAGGAAACTTAGTATCGATCACTGTAGTCCTTCAGGAAGCCTCGCACTTGTGGAAGCCCTTCGGGACCCGAGACGCCCTTGGAAGGGGTTCTTCTTTTCAAGTCAAAGCCAGGTCGTTGTCAGTCCGCAGCAGCAGGCGTTGACTCAGGGCCGAGGCCGCCTTAAGACCCTAGTATTATCCGGCAGTCACGGCGGCCTCTCTCACTTGCAAGGCTGGGAAACACGTACGGAATTTGGTCTTCTCCGGAAATTTGAATACCACTGCAAGGTTTCCGTCGAGTCCTTTCAATTTCTCGCTTCGCTGGCCGCAAGTGGCAGTTTCCGCTCGCTGCGGATACTGAGGCTGGGAATCTTTGACACCGCCCCTGGAAGTGATAGTGGCCAGCTCGACCAGTCGGCCGCTTCATTTCTGCAAGCCCTGCCCCCACTGGAGACGCTTACGCTCGAGAATTACTTTGGAACTCACGCCGTCGAAGCCGCGCTAAGCCGTCACGGCCCTACACTATGCAAGCTGCGCCTGCTTCCAGAGGACGGTGGCGAAGCGCACAACGACGTTGACACTGACGCCGCTCGGGTCCGGGAAATCCAGCAGCGATGCCCCATGCTCAAGGATATTGAGCTGCGAGTGCGGCGGCGCCAGGGCGGGCCCGAGGAAGTGGCGGTCTATCAGACCCTGGGGCGGATCCCCCGGCTACGGCGCGCCACGCTGAGGCTCGACTGTCGCTCGCCGTATCGTGACCAGACCCACGACCGCAACATGCACCGCGGGACGCTTATGTTTTATGACGAGCCCAGCGGCGACGCCGAGCGGGTGCGCAATACGCTGGTAAACCTCGCCCTTGATGAAACCCTCGCCACCGAGATCTTCCGCAAGATTGTCTCTGCCGCCCCCGACAGTCCCCTGGAGCGTCTGACGCTTGAGCCGCAGACCGAGGACACCATTGCCGCGCAGTTCCCAGAAATCGATAGTTTCGGGAGATGGATTGGGAGGAGTTGGGCCCTCAAGATATGCGGGAAGAGCGGTGCGGTCAGGGCCCGCGAGATCGATGTGGACCGCTACGATAGAGAGTACCTACGCAACAATCTCGAGCAAGTCGAGTACCAGGGCGAGGACGTGTGGGGCACGCTCTGGCCAAACGAAGGAGGAGATTGGCGGGATGACTGGCATAGCTTTCCTCTCTGGTGCAAGGAAAATGGGAATGGGGGGGTGGGTGAGAAAAGCCGTGACGGTCCGGAACTCCACGGCTCAACAGTTACCCCTTCATAGCCATGGCCGGCAAGAGTTAAGAGCTTGACGCCAAGGATCCAACAACAACTACAAACCGAGCGGCCTTGCTAGCAACCGGAGAGTGGAAACGAAACCGGCCACAGGGGACAGGTCGGAGCAATGGACATACCAGGGGCATCATGCACGACTGCCTAACAACATACTTATTTCAAGCTATGGCCTCGACCAACTTTCCCCGTTGGGGTCATGGCACAAGACATAGGTAGTGACGGACCCCTTGATTTCGTCTCCGAACCGACCGTCGCCCTTGAGATGCTGTGTAACGAGTAAACACTGCACTAAGCGCTTTGTGGTTGTATTAGCCGAAAAAGACGCGCCATCCCATCAAATCCTTACCGCATTCATGACTGCTAAGTCGTTGAATTTGTCAAAGTTGCCCCGAGATGACTGACACTGACTGTGGCCAATATGCAAAGCTCGCTTCTGCAGTCGGCAATGCGGACCTCTAAAAGATTCAAGGTCCGATAACAATATCAGGTTTTAATGCCTAAGCCCTGCAGTAGAGATAAGTTCCGGAACCATTGCGAGGGAAAGGGAGGCGTGGGTCGGCTTGATACTGTTCGGGGTAAATTGCTACAGCGCGTCTTAACATCGCCATGAAGCCCCCCAACCAACGCTCGCTGGATAGCCATCGGCATGAGATTTGCAAACCCACTTTTGACATCAAGGCGGTGGTTAAAAGTCTATGAAGAGGATGCAGGCATGCTAGTAGGAGGATCAGGCTCCAACGAGGCCGAGCACTCTGAGAACAGCAAGACTACCTAAGACTTGGGCGAATATTTGGAACAAGCTCTTCCGTTCCTGCAAGCTGAACAGTCTTGTGACGAGTTTTGGCACACTGCGGGCCGCCAACCCGGCCGGCTCGTGGCCCGGGACCTGTTTGACGACAGAACGCCCGTGCCGGGTCAGACTCGGGGGCCAAATACCCCGACTTCATCGGGACCCGGCATGCGTCGCAGGGAAGGAGTGTCAGCACTTTAACCACGTCGGCACCAACACGCTTGTTCACTGGCTGGTGAACTCAATAATTGACGTATTGAGGCCGGAGTGGAGTGTCCGTCACCCGAGACTGGTGTCGCTAACAACAATGTGAAAGTCGAATATCGAACATCGCACAGTGCGGGATGAAGTTGCTCCAACCGAGGGTTGTTGATTACTCTTGAAGATATTCCTCGCCTGGGGATGGCTTGGGTCTCAGAAACGACATGTTGAAAGCCAAAACCTGGTATAAAAGGAGGTCGAGTCCGCGCTTCGAGACATAATCTTGACTATTAGAACCGCATCACAACATCGAAGCCCAAAAACACAACATCCACTAAACTCCCACACTGGCATCATGAAGGTCTCCGCCATCACCACCATCCTCGCCCTCGCCATGGGCGCCGTCGCCCTGCCGGAGAATCCAGCTGCCGCACGTGAGGTCCAGGTCGAAGCGAGTACGTGTGGTCCATAGCCCAGGTGACACCCCAATACGGTCACTAACATTCTTTTCAACCACAAGGAGCCGGCTGCCCCAACGGCCCGTCCATGACCGCCTGTGGCCAGCTCTGCGAGAGCAGAGTCGCCATCAAGTGCAGAAACTGCAAGGATAGCACGTGCAAGACTGCTTGCCAACACGGCGGTATGCTGAACAAGTGCCTCGACTGCTGCAAGAGCCGCTGCGTGACTTGCTAAGTTGGAATGGGGACAGTGGCGTACCACTGGGCTGTGCTTGGAGAGGAGGATGAGGGGGGAACGGGGGTTGTGATGCAATGAGGAGTTGAGGACGACACTATAGGGGGCTTGATTTCAAACTCATGGTTCCTCTGTTTATATTCCTAGCACCCTATAGAGTACACACGAGGTGCTATGCATATAACTACCTATGAATGCCCCGCAACATTTTGTCTTCGATGATGGTGGATAGCAAAGTTCCATCTAGTATTTTGCAATTGGTCCCCTGTTGTTGTTCCTGTTCTGTGGTTCAGCCTCCCCGGATCGGTCGGCGCGGTTCACTCTTACCCCAGGTTGTACCCCTCACATCGGCAGTTGACACGCCCTGGATATTGGCACCCGGGCTCAAAACATTCTTGCTTACATCTCCGTCCCAGCCGTTACCGATCCGGACCCACCCCATCCACCACAACACCACAACGCCATCACTCATCTTAAGGTACCTAGGTATGGAACAACACCCTTTCCGCATCGCAACCAACTCAACTCCTCTCAACATACATCCAATCCTCCAATCCCAAAGCCTGCTTTCCCCCCCCAAACTCCCATTACCCAACGCAATCAGCTTGACCAACCCCCCCCCGCCTAAATAACAAGCACACTCACCCTCACCCCCTAATTCCATAACCCCCCCAAACAAACCCCCCAACGCAATGGCCTCCCACCCCCGCCCACATCTAGCCCTCATCGGCGCCGGCATAACCGGCACCACCCTCTCCCTGGCCCTCACCCGCCGCAACATCCCCCACACCGTCTACGAACAGGCCGCCCACCCCACCGAGCTCGGCGCCGGGCTGGGATTCGGCCCCAACGCGGCGCGCGCAATGGCGATTGCGGATCCGCGGGTGGGGGAGGCGTTTTTGAGGGAGTGTACTAAGAGGGATGTGCGGAGGGGTGCTGAGGGGGAGGGGGAGGCGGTGTGGATTGAGTTTTTGGATGGGACGGTTGATTGGGATGGGGGTGTGGGGGGGGCTGGAGCCCGGGTTTAAGGTGTTACGCACCAGTCCCCATCGGATAGAGGACGGCCCATCCCCCTGCCCTCAACTACGGCCGGCTGGCCATGCTGACCGAATCCGCCCAATATGAACTACGTTCGTTTCCTTGGACAAGACCGAACGACCGGGGAGAAAGAACTCTCCCGTTGATACCCCCCCCACCCTCTTCGCCCATCTTATCTCACCCCCTTCGTTTCCGGCTTAAAATACTAGCCTCTCGGAGGCCGCTGATGTCTCCCGCGCCCTGAAATTG